TCCAGTTTTTCCTACCTCAATAAATGCCAAACAGCATTTACCGCAGATCAAAATATTGGAGGCATCCTTTCTTTCTTCATCTGATACCTCTCACATCATTAGCAAATACTGTTATTTCTATCATCATTAAATTTTCCCAAATCTTACCACTCCTCAGTATCTCTACTGTTACCACTGTAGTTCAAGTCATCATCCATCTTTCTCTTGGTCTACTGCAATAATCTAACTGGTAGTCACTTCCCCTCTTGTTCGCTAACAGTCAATCCTCTACACAGTAACCAGATTGATCTTTCTAAAGCATACACCAGATCTTGTGACTCTCCTGCCCCAAATGCTCTAATGGCTTTCCTTCACACTCAGAATAAATCCATTACCTATGAAACCATGGCAATTTCTGGCCTCAGCTTGTCTCTCCAGCCACATCTCCCACTACATTCACCTGTTTCACTCAGCTTCAAGAACACTAGCCTTTTTTTTTTTTCAGTACCTTTTCTCAAGGTACACTTGCTATTTCTCACACATCAAGGTTATTACAGCTCCTTTTCCTGAACTTTGCATCATTTGCACCTTCACTTTATTGTCTTTGGTCAAATATTTCCTCAGAGAAGCATTCCCTGACAACTCCTTCTAAAATGTAGCCCTGATTCCCCTTATTCTGCTTTATTTTTCTTTATAGTACTTACATTTTATCACATTATTTATTTGTTCATTGTATGTTTCCTATGTAGGCTTTGAAAAGACTTTGTCTATCTTGTTTACCTCTATAATCTTAATAATGCCTAGAATAGTACCTGGCACAGCCTAAGAAGCTCAGAAGTGTAGTTTACTACAAAGGAAACTGGCATACATTCTAGAAAGAATGTCCAACAAGTCAATAGTCTATAATATACAAGGAGAAGGTAGGTGGCCAACAATCTTACTTTGTCAAAGACTAATGGGGTTCCCAGGCCATAGTACTTTTTTTAAAAGCTAGAATTGTCCCAAATTGGACTGTTATTTACCCTAGAAAAAGGCTGTATTTTTTTTAAAGATTTTATTTATTTATTCATGAGAATACAGAGAGAGAGAGAGAGGCAGAGACACAGGCAGATGGAGAAGAAGCAGGTTCCATACAGGGAGCCCAGCGTGGGACTTGATCCCTGTCTCCAGCATCAGGCCCTGGGCCGAAGGCGGCGCTAAACTGCTGAGCTACCTGGGCTGCCCAAGGCTGTATTTTTTTAAAAAGGGGATGGACTCTACTTGAGTCCAATCAAATGTACTCAGACTTGGATAATAGCAAACATAGCCACCTCTACTTACTGAGTATTTAGTGTGCAAATATTTTAAATACATTTTCTCACTTAATTTTTAAGATAATCTATGAGATACACACTTTGTCTCCATAATACAGACTAGGAGACTCCTGATACTGACAGATTTAAGAAACTTGCCTGCAGGTAAACAGTTTGAATGAAAGGGCTATAGAGCTAGTAAAAATAAACTTGGTAAGGACTGGAATGAATATTTGTAGCTGACCTTGCACAGTTCTGAAGGAAAGAATTTCTTCTCAGATATTTATTTAGCTTGAGATTTTTAATCAGTTTTATTCTTTATGGGAAGGTTAGCAAGACTCAGTCAAAAAGAGGTCTGTGATTTCTACAAAGTTTGGGGCAGTGATCTTGGTCTGTGAAGCTGGAAGAGTAAGCTGTCCAGATTCTGAATAGGACCTCACTGACTGAGTTCATACCACTAGTAATCACAACTTCAATTCAACTTACATTATGAGAACTTAGGTCCAAACTCAGTTTGTCTAAAATTTTTTACCTGCTTTTAACTACAAAGCAAGATATAGCAAGATATTAATTATATAAGGTCCTGGATGTTCTGGTCTGAATTTCATCCCTCATGCTACCTCAGTCACAGGAATAATGTAGGGTTAGGGATAATATAAATGTTAGAGTAGGTTTTGGAGTAAAAAACAATCCTAGATTTGTGCCTGGCTTCATAATTAACCATCTGAACAAGCCATTTTACCACTTTGACCATTTTCCTCGTCAGTATAAAGAAGATACTACCCACCTCACAGGGTGATAATTAAGTGAGATAGTATATGTTAAGGTGCTTAGCACAGAGTTAAGGGCTCAATGAATGATGGCTATTAATAGCTTTCCTAGAATTTATTATTATTGTGTTTGGATACTAAAAGAATACTGCATCCATCGATAAGAGGTGACAGTGGAGTTTGGATTTTATTCTAAAGATATTGAGGAGGTATTAAAGGATTTTAAGCAGCAAAGTAGCAATAAGTGAAATGAAACAATAAAGAAGCCTGTGAAAGAGTTTAAGAAGGAGTGAGCAGAGAGAGAAGGGAAAAATCAGGACACGTAGTATCTTCAGGCCAGGAAAGAAGTGGGGACAAGAGAGAAAAATAAGACCTGTCCACTGAGTGGCTGACACAGAGAACATTTAAGGCCTATTAGAGCAAAACCAGTTTGAATGATGCCACTTGTCTGCTTACAATAAAGCAGCATTTCTTAGTTTCTCCACTGCACGCAAAAACACAAGCATCCTTTCCTTTGAGTCTTGAGCAAAAATTTGCAATGACTTCACTTTGCCTATGGAATTAAAATCACAGGTTCCCTAGCCTGCTATCCTAAGCTCTTCACAACATAGCCCCAAACCAACTTTCTATTCTTTTTGTTCCCTACTACCCTAAGACATCCAGTTTTCCTCAACTTAATGTCTTGCTGCTCTCCAAATAAAAACACAGTAGCTATTTTCTCAAATTCATGCTTTTATTTGTATCCTACTTATGGCACTTAATGAATTTGCTTCATATTATAATTATTTGTATATCTACAATTACAAAATCTCAGAATCATAAAAAAAGTAAGAAAGTGTTTCTCTTACAAAATTTTGTCAGTTTTTTCACTAGTCTGTGGCAAAATGAGAAAAAAAAGAAATATTTTGGTGTATTCTTCATAAATATATAAATTTATGTGGCTCAAAGACTATTCTTAAATTAGAGACTATGTCCTCTTAAGTTTTGTTTTGGTGTTGAAACATCCTTTCTGGGATCCCTGTGTAGCTCTGTGGTTTGGCGCCTGCCTTTGGCCCAGGACGTGATCCTGGAGTCCCAGGATCGAGTCCCACGTCAGACTCCCTGCATGGAGCCTGTTTCTCCCTTTGCCTGTGTCTCTGCCTCTCTCTTTCTCTGTGTGTGTCTCTCATGAATAAATAAGTAAATAAAAAATCTTAAAAAAAAAAGAAACATCTTTTCTTTTACAATATGATTGTGATAATAAAGATTTTTTTTTCTAATGTCCGTACTTGCTAATTTAAAAAATTGGTAACTTTGGGGCACCTGGGTGGCTCAGTCAATTAAGTGTCTGACTCCTGATTTTGGTTCAGGTCATGATCTCAGGGTCATGGGATCTAACCCTGCGTTGGGCTCTGTGCTCAGCGTGGAAGCTGCTTGAGATTCTCCCTCTTCCTCTGCCCCTGCCCGTCCCCTTGCTCGTTGGTCCATGCAGGTGTGCACATGCTCTCTCTCTCAAAATGAATAAAAAAAAACTTAAATTAGCTATAAAATAGGGATGCCTGGGTGGCTCAGCAGTTAAGCATCTGCCTTCAGCCCAGGGCCTGATCCTGGAGTTCCAGAATGGAGTCCCACATCAGGCTCCCTGCATGGAGCCTGCTTTTCCCTCTGCCTGTGTCTCTCATGAATAAATAAATAAAATCTTTTTTAAAAAATCTACAAAATATTGGTATCTTTATGAAAATTGGCAAAATTTCTTTTTAATTCTCAAAGTTCATAAACTCAAAAACCGAGAAAACAGTTGATCTCTTCTTTTATTTTTTTAATTTATTCATGAGAGACAGAGGCACAGGCAGAGGGAGAAACAGGCTCCATGCAGGGAGCCTGACACGGGACTCGATCCTGGATCTCCAGGATCAGGCCCCGGGCTGAAGGTGGTGCAAAACCGCTGAGCTACCTGGGCTGCCCTACCTATGAGAAAGTCTTACCTCAGCTCTACTTCTAGGTCAAAAAGCTGTTTGAGAGCTGCACTTTTTATTATTTACTTTGGAATTTCCTACCTGATGCCTTTTCCATAGTAGTCACTCAAAAATATTTCTTTTAAAAATATATATATTTAAATTCAATTTGCCAACATGTAGTCTAACAGCCAGTCAAAAATATTTCTTAATTGACATTCTCTAAAGGAATCTAAGTTTGAGGGATGCCTGGGTCGCTCAGGGATTGAGCAGCTGCCTTTGGCTCAGGTCGTATTCCCGGAGTCCCAGGATCTAGTCCCATATCAGGCTCCCTGCATGGAGCCTGCTTCTCCCCCTGCCTATGTCTCTGGCTGTCTTGTGAATAAATAAATATTTGTTTATTTTCTGTGTCTCTTGTGAATAAATAAATAAAATCTTTAAAAAAGGGGGGGGGGTTGGGCAGCCCGGGTGGCTCAGCGGTTTAGTGCCACCTTCGGCCCAGGGTGTGAGCCTGGAGACCAGGGATTGAGTCCTGAGTCCGGCTCCCTGCATGGAGCCTGCTTCTCCCTCTGCCTCTCTGTGTGTGTGTGTGTGTCTCTCTCATGAATAAATAAATTAAAATCTTAAAAAAAAAAGGGGGATCTAAGTTTGATAGAAAATAATAACCTATGGTCCTGTTATGCAAAAACATTTAGAGGTGGGGCCTTGGAAAGAACAATAACACCCTTTCCCTGCAGGAAGTGTATTTACAAAGTAGGGGATTAAAGGTTTGTGTTGGAATTTATATTGTTTTCCTTAGGTATTAAGTCTATTCATCAATATAGCACTAAAGCCTTCCAAACTATCCTTTGAAAATTGCCTAAAAGCCCTGGGGAAATTGTTATACTATTTTGTTCTAATTTTGTTTTGTAGCTTAGCTTTTCATATATAATCACTTTAGGAGAAAAACAATCTAGGAGATAAAAAGTTGATAATGTGATTTGATTATATTCATTTGTAATTTTGTGTTATTTCTTTTTCTAAAGCTGGGGCCTCAACTTTGGTGACCAAGGATATATTCGGATGGCAAGAAACAGTGGAAATCACTGTGGGATTGCTAGTTATCCCTCTTACCCAGAAATCTAGACCTCTTCATTTTATAACAAGTCCAAAAAATTGAAACACTTTCTCTTAATTTAATTTTACCTGCTATAATAGTAAAAATAAGTGTGTAGTGACCATTGTATATTTGCTCTACTAACAGAATATATAGTTTGAAGATATAACTTTGAAGATATTGGAAAATATTTGCTACATAAATTAATAATGCACTATAGATATAACTGTATGAGAATTGGTCAACCTAAGAAATCTGTCATGTTTGTTTTGTCACCATCTTGTTTTACATACTTTGTCATTTTAAGTTCCCTTATACCCTTTCCCTTTTGTAATATGATGGCATATAAACGCTCAATAAATATCTCTTTTCAACTTTGTATCATTACCCACATACCATTCTTTTCTTATCCTTAGGTAACTATTTTAATCTATCATGAGGATGTAAATTGTAGTATGCTGGTGAAGGGCTCTGGCAACTTTCATGAAGACACTACTAGATTATTAATATCCTAAGGGCTCAGATTATATTGTTCCACATTAAAGGATTCAGTAATTTTTTTAAGGTAGACAAATACTTAAGACACAATCTGTTTTCAAGAACTTTAGAAGAATAATTTTAATGATCATAAAATACTAATTCAAATTATTTTTACCTAGTCACAGAAATTTGGCCAGAATCTTTTAGAGGCAAATAATTAAGCCAACCTGAACAAAATAACCAAACTGCATCTTATTTAAAATAGTCCATTACTGGAGCACCTGGATGGCTCAGTCAATTAAGTGTCCTACTCTTGACCTCAGCTCGGGTCTTGATCTCAGGGTTGGGGAGTTGAGGCCCTGTACTGGGCTTCACGCTGCGTGCAGAGCCTACTTTAAAAAAAAAAAAAGTCCATTACTGATATTTTTAATCTAACTCAGATTGAGTTTCTTTCCAACTGCCTAGAATAGTAGACAGATTCTGAAGATGCAGTAAGAACTTTATATTTGGGGGCACTTGGGTGACTCAGTCAGTTAAATAACTGACTCTTGATTTCAGTTCATAATCTCAGGGTTGTGAGATGGAACCCCAAGATGGGCGCTTTGCTGGGTTGGAGCCTGCTTTTTTTTTTTTTTTAATTTTTATTTATTTATGATAGTCACAGAGAGAGAGAGAGAGAGAGACAGAGATACAGAGACACAGAGACACAGGCAGAGGGAGAAGCAGGCTCCATGCACCGGGAGCCCGACGTGGGATTTGATCCCGGGTCCCTAGGATCGTGCCCTGGGCCAAAGGCAGGTGCTAAACCGCTGTGCCACCAGGGATCCCTGGAGCCTGCTTAAGTAAGATTCTCTCTTTTCCTCTCCGTCCAGCCTTTCTACTTCTAAAAAATAAATAAATAAAATTTATTAAGTTCATGCCTATGACATGAAAAATGTGTGAGATGATATAATTAGTTTATCTTAAATGAATTTTTTTTTAATTTTTATTTATTTATGATAGGCACACAGTGAGAGAGAGAGAGGCAGAGACACAGGCAGAGGGAGAAGCAGGCTCCATGCACCAGGAGCCCGACGTGGGACTCGATCCCGGGTCCCCAGGATCACGCCCTGGGCCAAAGGCAGGCGCTAAACCGCTGCGCCACCCAGGGATCCCTCTTAAATGAACTTAAACTAATTTCACTATATTTGGTTCCTTCTCCATAAATAATTTTTTAAAGATATTTATTTATTTATTTATTTATTTATTTATTTATTTATTTGAGAGAGAGAGGGAGAGGGTGTGTGCATGAGCTAGAGGAGAGGCAGAAGGGAAGGGAAAGGAAGAGGGAAAGAAACTCACATAGACTCCCCACTGAGCCCAGAGCTCCATGCGGGGTTCAATCTCACTATCCTCAGATCATGACCTGAACTGAAACCAATAGTTAGATGCTCAACCAACAGAGCCACCCAGGGGCCCCCATAAAGAACATTTTTTTAAAGATTTATTTATTGGGGATCTTTGGGTGGCTCGGCGGTTTGGCGCCTGCCCTTGGCCCAGGGCACAATCCTGGAGTCCCAGCATGGAGCCTGCTTCTCCCTCCTCCTGTGTTTCTACCTCTCTCTCTCTATGTCTATCGTAAATAAATAAGTAAATAAATCTTAAAAAAAGGATTTATTTATTTATTTATTTATTTATGATAAGTAAATAAATCTTTTTAAAAAATTATTTATTTATGATAGACATAGAGAGAGAGAGAGAGGCAGAGACACAGGAGGAGGGAGAAGCAAGCTCCATGCCGGGAGCCCAACGCCGGAATCGATCCCGGGACTCCAGGATAGCACCCCGGGCCAAAGGCAGGCGCCAAACCGCTGAGCCACCCAGGGATCCCCCATAAAGAACATTTTAAAGAGCAAGAATTGCTAACTGTAAAAACAGGAACATAATATACAACTACCATCTAAAGTGTAGAGAAACTGAGCCTCATGACTCAGTTGGTTAGGTGTCTGCCTTCGGCTCAGGTCATGATCCCAGGGTCCCGAGATCAAGCCCCACATCCAGCTCCTTGCTCAGTAGGGAGTCTGCTTCTCCCTCTCCCTTTACCTCCCCTCCGCCCCCCGCAATTGTGCTCTCTTGCTCTCTCTCAAATAAATAAATAAAATCTTTTTTTAAAAAGTGTAGAAAAACATTGTAATTAAAAAATATTTAGTGGATCCCTGGGTGGCTCAGTGGTCTAGAGCCTACCTTTGGCACAGGACGTGCTCCTGGACTCCCAGAATGGAGTCCCGCATCAGGCTCCCTGCATGGAGCCTGCTTCTCCCAATATGTGTGTCTCTGCCTCTCTCTTTCTCTCTCTCTCTCTCTCTCTCTCTCTCTCTCTCTCTCTTGATCTGTCTCTCATGAATAAATAAATAAAATCTTTTTTTAAAAAAACTTAGTCAAGAGCTGACTTAGTCCATAGAGCATGAGATTTTTGGTCTCAGGGTTGTGAGTTCAAGTTTCATATTGGGCATAGAGCTTACTTAAAAATATAAGAAGGAAAATGAAAGTGTTTATTAAAAATATTTAACTGATTATTCTTTAGTTTTTATTTTGCACACTATTTTTCAAGCACTGTAAATGGAACAAAAACTTGGGTAGGTCTTAACTTTCATAAGTCTGGTGAGGCCTATAAACACCTTCTCAAAATAATGTTTTTAAATACATAAAATAAAATATATAGGAACACAAAGGAAACCAATTTTATTGAAATACAGTCATTAAAATATTAAAATATATATTTGTGCCACAGTAATACATACATTTCTTTTAACAAGAATTAATAACTACCTTAAATTTGAAGTAGTGACAAGTGTAAATATTACTTGAAAGATGTCTGCAGAAATTATGATGTTATATATATAAATATCTGACCTTTCTTTTGGTGATAAAATTACAAATATTGCTAATATTATTGTTTATGGACTACATTTCAAATATAAGAAAATGATAACTTTCAGTTAGAGGCTAGTGAAAATAAAGATGTAATTTTTTCCACATAGAAATTCTCTGAATTGGGCAGCCCCGGTGGCGCAGCGGTTTAGCGCCGCCTGCAGCCCAGGGCGTGATCCTGGAGACCTGGGATCGAGTCCCACGTCGGGCTCTCTGTATGGTGCCTGCTTCTCCCTCTGCCTGTGTCTCTGCCTCTCTCTCTAGCTGTGTCCGTATGAATAAATAAATAAAATCTTAAAAAAAAAAAGAAATTCTCTGAATTCTATCCATGGACACTGGATCCCTGGTAAAGAACCCTTGAACTAAAAAAACAGAGTAAGGAAATATTTAACGAAGATCTTTATTCTATATATACATATATTCTATATGCAACATAAAGGGAAATAAGTAATTTCAAACTTATAGAAATAAACAGCTTTTTAAAAAAATTTAAAGTTTAAAACAAAAAAGAACAGAACAAACATTCTGGAACAATATATGGGGATGATTTGGAGAAAATAAAAAGGATACCAGCCAGAAAAGATGATAGTAAGTATGTGAGATGATATAAAACCCCGGACAAAAAAAAAAAAAAACCTGGACAACTTTAGCAGCTGTGAAAAAAGAAAAAGAAAAACAAACAAGGAGCAAATCTGTGAGTCATTATAGAGTAAAAGTTGACAAATCTTTTAACTGGATAATAAAGGTAAAGAAAGGGAATGGCCTGGGTGGCTCAGTGGTTGAGCATCTGCCTCCTGCCTAGGGCATGATCCTGGGGTCCTGGGATCGAGTCCTGCATCGGGCTCCCTACATGGTGCCTGCTGCTCCCTCTGCCTGTGTCTCTGCCTCTCTCTCTCTGTCTTTCGTGAATAAATGAATAAAATCTTAAAAAAAAAATAAAGGTAAAGAAAGGGCAACTGGGTGGCTCAGTTGGTTAAGTGTCTGCCTTCAGCTCTCATCATGATTCCATGATGGAGTCCTGAGTCAGGCTCCCAGTTCAGCAGGGAGGCTGCTTCTCTCCCTCTGCCCCTGCCAACTGCTTGTGATCTCTCTCATTCTCTTTCTCTCTCTCTCAAATAAATAAGTCTTTAAAGAAAAGAAAAAAAAATGACTCAAGATGAATCAATGTGTCTTTGCTGATGCCTGCCCCCTCCCCAACCATCAATTCATTCTCCAACAGCCAAAGTGATCATTTACAAATATTAACTTGATATATTTCTCAATTGAAAGCATTCAACAGCTCCCATTACACCTGAAATAAAACACAAATTCCGTAACACTGGCTATTAAATTCTATATATCCTGGCTTTCCTATCTCATTTGGAGTCAGTTTTTGTCATCTGCTATGCATTAGTCCATACTGGCCTTCCTTCATTTTTTTGAAGCACTTCTTCTATTAAGGCCTTTACAAATGTTATTCTCTCTCCCCGGGATATTTTCCCACCACACTCTTCCAATAACTTCTACTCATCCTTGTGGCTGTAACTCAAATGTCATTTCCTGGGCAGCCTGGGTGGCTCAGCGGTTTAGCGCCACCTTCAGTCTAGGGTGTGATCCTGGAGACCTGGATCAAGTCCCGCTTTGGGCTCCCTGCATGGAACCTGCTTCTCCTTCTGTCTGTGTCTGTGTCTCTCATGAATAATAAATAAAATCTTTAAAAAAAAAAAGTCATTTCCTGTCATTTCCTTAGAGAGGCCTTCCATAACCCATCTTCTCATGTAAATTGTTTCTTCACCTTTGACTCTCATTGAATCCAGTGCTTTTCTTTCATAACCTTATATCAAATTATAATTATATATATTTATATACTTATTTGTATAACATCTCTCTCCTTTGTTAGATGATAGGCTCAATGAGGGCAGAAATCATGACTTGTTTACTTATCACTTTGTACTTAGAACATAACACACTGTCTGCTTATAGTAGTTTGTCACTATTGAAAGAAAAAATACAAGCGATGGATGAATGCAAATGAATGACCAGCATATTATAAGACTTAGAAGTAAAACTATGTACTAATAATTCTTTCACAGTAGTGGAAATCTAACACTTGTAGAAACTATTTTAAAACTTCTATTAAATTTAAAGAGGGGGATGACTGGGTGGCTCAGCAGTTGAGCATCTGCCTTTGGCTTCAGAGAGTGATCCTGGGATCCAGGATTGAGTCCCACATCGGGCTCCCTGCATGGAGCCTGCTTCTCCCTCTACCTATGTCTCTGTCTCTGTCTCTCTCTCTCTCTCTGTGTGTGTGTGTGTGTCTCATGAATAAGCAAAGTATAGATTGTTCTTTAAAAGAAATAGAAAAACATTCAGATTTATTTAACATAAGTTTTCTATGACAGGGAGCCTTCATAAGGAAATGGAGACCATAAGAAATAAACGTGACTGTTTTTATACTACATTTGGTGAAAAATGGAAAATCTCGGAAAAATATGATAGGACAAAAATCCATGTATAAGTTAAAGGTACCAAACCATGGGAATCTTACAAAGGCCTGTTCATTGGGATTTCTCTTGGCATCTCTTTGTCTTTGGAGATAAGGATGCTCCTTTCCTTTAGGTACAGGGAGAACACCTCTCACATGAGGGTCTTATGACATGCTTCAGAGGAAAAGAAAGAGGTCAGAGCCCTGCCACCTGCTGTATCTATGATCCAGTTCAGGGGAAACAGGACAGATAAGAGAATCCTTCCTGTACCTGCTATTTCTCCAATTCCTTCAACTTAAAATATTCAATATGCCAAGATGCCATATTTTGGGATAGTATGTTCTGAACCCTGTCAGTATATATAGTAGCCAGTTCTCATTATTTGCAGTAATTATGTGCAAATAATACCGTGATTTTCCCTAGAAGGAATACCACAACTTTCTTATGTTTAGGAACACTAGATAGCACTTCAGCACTATCCATTTTCTTAAAATGATTTTATTCATTTATTCATAGAGACACACACACACACAGAGAGAGAGAGAGAGAGAGAGAGAGAGAGAGAGAGAGAGGCAGAGGCACAGGCAGAAGCAAGCTCCAGGCAGGGAGCCTGATGTGGGACTCAATCCAGGGTCCCCAGGATCAAACCCCAGGCTGCAGGCGGCGCTAAACCGCTGCGCCACTGGGGCTGCCAAGTACTATCCATTTAAAACAGCAAAATCACACACACACAAGAAAAAGGCACAACAATGCAAAAACATGATACTAAATAGACCACCAAAAGAACACTTGTTTACAATGAAAGATGAAACAAGAAGGCAGCACATCATCTTGTTCAACCTCGGGAATGTGTATGTAGAAAGACTCAAAAATTTTGCTCACTTTGCACATGTCTGCAAATGAATTCAAAAGAACCATATTGAATTGCTTTCTAAAAAAATTAGTTTCCATTTATTTGACAGATTGGCATCCTGTAAATATGTCACTTTTCATAATTGGTCTGTCAGAACTGCAACTTGGGCTCACATAAATGGCTGCTCTAATAGTTACCTGCTGTCATTTTCTTTCTGCATGAATATGTGCTGGCTTAATGCCCAGTACTCTAGTATGTCCGCATGATATTGGGGGATGCCATGTAGTCCAGTAGAAGAGCTCCATTCCATGGATTTACTTTGTTGTGGTTTCTATGAATTGCTTTTTATTTTTTATTTATTTTATTTTATTTATTTAATTATTTTATTTATGATAGTCACAGAGAGAGAGAGAAGCAGAGACACAGGAAGAGGGAGAAGCAGGCTCCACGTAGGGAGCCTGATGTGGGACTGGATCCTGGGTCTCCAGGATCACACCCTGGGCTGAAGGTGGCGCTAAACCCCTGAGCCACCCAGGCTGCCCATTCCCTTTATTTTTCTAAAAGCAAAGCTTCCCAAAAGAATTCAACTGTCCTGAATCCCCTTCCAAGGAGTTTCACAATGGGGGAAGATTAACTCATTACCAAAGACAAGTCAGCACCTGGATAAGAAATCACCAAAAGAGACATTGTCATAAAACTATCATATCATATATTCCTCCTATTCTCCTAAGGGCCATTCATTTTTCCTATAAGTCATATGTTCTCCCATAAGTTAACCTCTGCTCCTCCCCACTCCCTATTAAGATGGCATCTGAACTCCAAAATCTAACCACATTCTTGGGTCACACTTCTCTGTGAACTCCTGTGCACAGTACATGCGCAAATTTGTTTTTCCCTCTTGCTAACCTGTCTGTTGTCCGTTTAAATTGCAGGCCCCCAAGTACAAAATCGAAAAGGATTCAGGAAAAAATTTTCTTCCCCAACAATTTCAAATAGCAAATGATAAATTGCACAAAAATTGATCCATGGTATATAGATATAGATATAGATATTTGGGCAGTACTTGTGAAAAATAACCAAGAATTTATCAATTTTTGTACAGCGAAAATGTTATGTTTTTTACAGTAAGTACCTCGTAGCTGTTACCAAACAATTCAGTGGCACATTCAAAATAGAAATGTGATTAATACTATGCATAACTGAAAGTTGTTTTATAGTGAGTATCTGTAAAAGCCTAACATCCCATTCTCTTAATCAGTTATTTTTTAAATCAGTAATATTTTTAAATCAATGATAATCCTTTTAGCTGTTTCTTTTAGTATTTACCTTCAGGTTTCTAATATATTTGTATTGCTCTTTTTGATAGTTATCTACTTATTATTATGATAATCAATGTTTTAGATGTCTTGCGTCAACACCACCCATTTCTCTACTCTTATCCTCAAAGTATAGTCAGTGATATAGTTGGTTAAATAAGTAGTTACTGATTGTATTGAAGGAATTCAGAACATAGCACCCAAAAATATGCTACTCTAGCATACTATTTTGAGTCAGAAGCACTTGAAAAATAGCAACTGCAGGAAGGACATTCTGATTCTCCTTCTTTTTTTACAAGTAAGAGATAAAATTCCCATGTGAAAGATATCCTCCTATATCAGAAGGAAAGAGAAATTCTTGTCACCAAGGGCATGAGGTCGAGGCCAAGGTAAATCTGTACAAACCAACCTTGTTAACCTAACCCCTATCTTTCTAGTCACTTCATTCATTCAACTGCCCCAGCCCAAGCCCCTTTGCCTACTCACATTTTCACAATTCAGTATTCTTTGTCCAACTCAGTATATAAGCATTCAATTCTGCTTCTTTGGGTCTTAACTTTTCTTGTGAAGATTGCCAGGTGCATGTAAAGAAGATATAATTAAAACTCATATGCTTTCTTTTCTTTTTCATTTTAAGACTTTATTTATTTGACACAGAGAGAGTGTGTGTCTGTGTATAAGCAGGGGGAGACTCAGGCAGGAGAGAGAAGTAGGTTCCCTGCTGAAGAGGGAGCCTGACGTAGGGCTCCATTCCAGGACCCCAGGATCATGACCTGAGCCAAGGGGAAATGCTTAACCCAGGTGCCCCAAAACTTGTATGTTTTCTCCTGTTAATCCTGTTAATCTGTTTTCTGTCAGTTAAATTCATAGGTCCATGCAGAGACCCTAAGAGAGTAGAGGAGAAATTATTCATCCCCTGGAGCATTATTCTGATTCTGTGATTCAAGATGAGCTATTTACTTCTTCATATTTTTTGGTTTTTTTTCTATAGTCATCAATAACTCAAAAGTAAATTTAATATGAAGCACAACATAAATCGAGCGCGTCATTATTAAGTGGTGTCATCATGGTTTCCCCTCTGCTGAGGCTGAAATTGGTTGTGGTCTTAGGAAACCAAGTTTACCTCAATCTGTTTTCACATCTCTGAAATAGGAGAAATACTAGTGTCTTCCTCACGACAGTCTTAGAAGAAGCAAAGCAGGGGTAACAGAAGAATGAGATAGTGATTTTTTGAAAACCTTTTGTAAACTCTAAGCATGAGAGAACCACAAAGCAAAATGATCCCTAAACCAGGGGATTTTCACAATTTTTCATTGAAACAAGGTTCTAGACTTCATTCCTCTCCTGATTGACTCTGGGCAAATCTTTTTACACTGAGGTGGCTGTTTTCTAACTGGTGATGCAGACATATCAAAGTTAATGAATAATTATGCCATGTTTACACTGCTAACAATTTATTTGCATATATAATAATTTGTAAACAGCTTGTACTCTTCGATCATCTCCAACTATCTACCAGCTCTGGTTTTATGATTGTTTCTAAATAAAACATTAACTACTTTGGAGGCCATCCAATGTCCCCACGGTCAGCAGAGCAGAAATATCTAAGGAAACCACCAGAGCACCTGCTTTCCTGGACACAGCAGACTAAGGTGGGAAAGCAATGCATGTGTGGCAGATCCAATAACAAAATCGAAAGTCAGAAAACAATCAGAAATTAACGAGATTTATTTATTTTTTTAAAGATTCTATTTATTCATTCATGCTACACATAGAGAGAGGCAGAGACACAGGCAGAAGGAGAAGCAGGTTCCACGCCAGAAGCCCAGCACAGGACTCAGTCCCGGGACTCCAGGATCGCATCCTGGGCCAAAGGCAGGCGCCAAACCGCCGAGCCACCCAGGGATCCCCTTAACGGGATTTATTAAAGGGTGGTTGAGGATACTTCAGTCAGTGTGGGAAAATTCAGTATTTCGAGAAGGCTTGGCATATGCAGCATCTTAACCTCAGCCTGCCGGCAATCGGGCACCTCTCCGGCTGAGAACCACTCCTTAGCCGCGGGATTCCCAGAGCGCCTCGCGCGGCTTAGGCGGGAAAGCCACTGGAGGTCACAGGACTGGTGTCGTGCCTCCACGGTGACCGTTGAGGGAAGGCGCCTGCGCGTCAAGCTAAGCGCAGGGCGCATGCTGTGAGGGGCAGGTTTTCAGGTCGCTGGCGCTGGCCCTCAGACGTTACGTAATGTATACGTTTCTTTGTTTTCTCTCATATTTTTGTTTTTTGCTTTTTAATTTCTTTTTCTATCAACTCTAGACTACTTTTAAGTTTCTAAAGGTTTTAAGGGTGGAACATACAGGGAGAAATGTTATTTTTATTTCTTATTTTTCACGGGAGGCTCTTCAGACGAAGTTAACTCTGGCGTCTAGTCCGGGCTCTGTCAGGATCGCTGCAAACGTGCCGTCTTCCAGTTGAATTTTCTGATTAAGAAAAGCGAAACTGGGAACCAAAAAAAAAAAAAAAAAAAGGAAACTTACATGAAAAGATCAGTTATAATTGGGACATCAGAATCGGCCAAAATCTGGGATATTTTCTGTTCCCGTTTTTGGTGGTTCCACAGAGCCGATAATATGTCATTGTATCTGGAGCCTGCTAAAGTTCAGTGAAGGAGCGTTACCTCGTTCAGTCATTTTGAAACAGCAAATTTATAACAAAAATTTTAAGATCATTTTTAAGAATTTGGCATGGGCAGTTTTCATTACCTAATACCTACCTAACTGTAGCAATGTAGTCAGTGCTTGAATTCTGTAATTTATTAATTAATATGAAATTACTCACATAAAATTTATTTTTATTTATTTATGTGAAGTTCTTTTGATCTTACATGTAGTAAACTAGAATATTAGGGTTGAAAATAAGATCTGAAGTTAAAGCTCATATTTGTGTCACAAGGTTGAATTAAAGAAAAGACTTTATCGGAAGATGGCCACTGCACAATTGCAGAGAACTTCCATGGTATGATTTCTTATACTTTTAATATGTTGGGTTTTTAAAAAAGATTTTATTTATTAATGAGAGGCACAGAAAGAGAGAAAGAGAGAGGGAGAGACATAGGCAGAGGGAGGAGAAGCAGGCTCCATGCAGGGAGCCTGATGTGGGACTCCATCCGGAACTCTGGGATCATGCCCTGAGCCGAAGGCAGATGTTCAACCACTGAGCCACCCCATATTTTTAATATGTAATTTTATTGTTTCTGAAGTCTCAACTTTTTATGTTCTGAAGCTAGAGTCAGCTGTTTGAGGATTTAATGAGATCAGGAAACTCCATATTTTAAGAAAGGAAGATATTTACTAAACTACTTAGAGTCAGGGGAGAATTGTATTAAATATTTGATGATTCACATTAAATAACTGGTTCATATTCAATTTACATTAGGTGTTAATGAATGCTTTTCTGGTGCTTTGATGAGATTATCATTTACAGCAGTCCATTCCTAGGAAATGAATGTCCATGCCTCACAAATATAAAATCCTCATTTTTGCATAGATATAGATACCTGGGTCAAACCTAGTCAGTAACTAATGAGAAAAGCAGTGTTAGCTATCATGTATTATGCACTCACAGATAGTCAACCTACAGGAGGATTTTTAACACAATTTTTTTTTTCTTTTAAGATTTTACACATTCACTCATGAGAGACACAGAGAGAGAGAGAGAGTCAGAGACACAACAGAGGGAGAAGCAGGCTCATGCAGGGAGCCTGATGTGGGATTCGATCCTGGGACTCCAGAATCATGCCCTGGGCCGAAAGCAGGCGCTAAACCGCTGAGCCACCCAGGGATCCCCTAACACAATTCTTAAGTACTTTTTGCATTTTACCTTTAGGCTGCAACCCTGGAATTACCCTGACTTTCTGGGGATTACTAACCACGATGGTTAGGAATTTCTCTTTTTTTTTTTTTATGGTTAGGAATTCTTTGGGAAAGTATCATGCTTATGCAAAATTAGATCTACTTGAAGTTCAAGAAAGTGTTATTTTTAACAAATCTAAATAATAACATTTTAATTTTCCTTGAATTTAGAGTGCTTTGGTGTTTCCCAATAAGATATCAACAGAGCAGCAGTCTTTGGTGTTGGTGAAGAGGCTCCTAGCAGTTTCAGTATCCTGCATCACGTATTTGAGAGGAATATTTCCAGAATGTGCTTATGGAACAAGATATCTAGATGGTAACACAATGTTTATGTTTTGTTTCTTTTGATTTTTTAAAAATATTTTATATATTTAATCATGAAAGACACAGAGAGAGAGAGAGAGGCAGAGACACAGACCAAGGGAGAAGCAGGCTCCCTGCAAGGAGCCCAACATGGGATTTGATCCCAGATCCCGGGATCATGTGATGGGCCAAAGGCAGACACTCAACCGCTGAGCCACCCAGGTGGCCCATCGATTTTTTAAATTTACTGTTTATTTTAAAACTTTCTTTAGAGGAAAAAAAAAACAAGTTTCTTTAGAGGTGCCTGGGTGGCTCAGTTGGTTAAGTGTCTGACTATTGATTTCAGCTCAGGTCTCAATGTCAGGGTTGTGAATTCAAGCTCCATGTGGGTTCTGTGCTAGGTTGAAACCTATTTAAAAACCAAAAAAAAATTTTTTTAATTAAAAAAAATGAAAAAATAGAAATTAAAATAAATAAAAATAAATAATTAATTAAAAAAACACTCTCTTTAAGCATTCTTTTTTAAAGATTTTATTTATTTATTCATGGAAGACATGAGAGGCAGAGGGAGAAGCAGGTTCCCTGCAAGGAGCCTGGCGTGGGACTGGATCCCGTGTCTCTAGGATCACACTCTGGGCTGAAGGCATCCATCGCTAAACCACTGAATCACCCAGGCTGCCCATCTTTAAACATATTTTTATTTTGGCTTGCTTTAAAACTGATTTTTTTTCTTGGAGATTTTTTAAAATAATAACTATTGAGATATAATACACTTGACAATTCATACATTTAAAGTGTACAGTTGAATGATTTTTAGTGTGTTCAAATTGGTGTACAGCTATTCCCACAGTCAATTTTAGAACATTTCATCACCATAAGGAAACTCCACACCCACTAAGTCACTCTCCATTTCCCCACCTCCCCAGTCCTAGGCATCCACCAATCTGTTCTCTGTCTCTATGGATTTGCCTATTCTGGATGTTTTATGTAAATGAAATCATGCAATATGTGGTCCTTTGTGACCAGCTTCTCTCATTTAAAATGTTTTTCAGATTTATCCATATGGTAACATGAGTTAGTACTTCATTCTCTTTTATTGCTGAATAACATTCCTTTATATAGATTACCACTTTCATTTATCTGTCAGTTGATTTGTTTCAGTTGTTTCTACTTTTTGGCTATTACGTATTTTTTTCTTTTCTCTTTTTAAGATTTTATTTATTCATTCATGAGAGACACAGAGGCAGAGACATAGGCAGAGGGAGAGGCAGGCACCCTGCGGGGAGCCCAATGTGTGACTCGATCCCAGGACCCCGGGATCACAACCCGAGCCAAAGGCAAATGCTCAATCATTGAGCCACCCAGGTGCCCCCTGTTACATATGTTTTTCTTAATTTTTTTTTATTTGAGAGAAAGCACCCATGAGTAGGGGTTAGGGGCAGAGGGAGAGGGAGAGAATCTTAGGCAGACTCTGTGCTGAGCGAGGAGTTCAGTAGGGCTCAGTCTCACAACCCTGAGATCATGATCTGATCCAAAATCAAGAGTTGGATAGCTGAACCCACTGAGCCACCCAGGTGCCCCATATTTTCTTTGGCTGTTATAAATAATGCCGCATTCATGTACAAATTTTTGTGTGGACTAAAAGGTTTTTTTTTTTTAATTTTTATTTATTTTTTTATGATAGTCACACACAGAGAGAGAAAGAGGCAGAGACATAAGCAGGCTCCATGCACCGGGAGCCCAACGTGGGATTTGATCCGGGGTCTCCAGAATCGCGCCCTGGGCCAAAGGCAGGCGCCAAACCACTGCACCACCCAGGGATCCCGACTAAAAGGTTTTTTAAAGTGTAATCAAGAGGCACCTTGGTTTCAGTTCATGTCTGATCTCAGGATCATGAGACTGAGCTCAGAGTGGGGGCTCCATGATCAGAGTTGGCTTGAGTCTCTCTCTCCCTCTCCCAGTGCTCCTCCCCACAGTGTTCTCTGTCTCTTACAGAGATAAATAAACCTTTTTTAAAGTATATTTAAGGGATGCCTGGGTGGCTCAGTGGTTGGGCGTCTGCCTTTGGCTCAGGGTGTGATCCCAGTCCGGGGATCAAGTCCCACAGCAGGCTCCCTGTGAGGAACCTGCTTCTCCCTCTGCCTGTGTCTCTGCCTCTCTCTGTATCTCTCATAAATAAATAAATAATCTTTTTTAAAAATAATAAATATATAAATAAAGTATATTTAATACCTTTGGAAGCATTTGATCATAAAATTTTCCCTCAACTTCTCAAGTTTATTTTGCCTGACATTACTCTTTTTTTTTAATTTTGATTTATTTTTATTTTTTTTGCCTGACATTACTCTTAAAATGACAAACTAGGTAAAAACATTCTGGTGTTTTTGTTTTTGTTTTTTTTTTAAGATTTTCTTTGTTTATTCATGAGAGACACAGAGAGAGAGGCAGAGACATAGGCAGAGGGAGAAGCAGGCTCCATGCAGAGAGCCCGATGTTGGACTCGATCCTGGGACTCTGGGATCACGCCCTGAGCCAAAGGCAAATGCTCAACCACTGAGCCTCCCAGGCATCCCAGCATTCTGTTGTTTATAGCTTTATACAGTGGTAGTATATGTTCTTGTGCTATTTTAAGGAAGTAAAAATAATACAACCTATTTATACTACAGTAATAATTCATTACCCAGCATATAGTATGTACCTAATTTTGTGCACTAACTATATGCTGGGCAATATCTTAAGCACTATGTTATGTATTATATCTTGTTAATTCATATTACAGGCCTGTGAGTTAGATATTATCCCTATTTTTCAGATAAGGAATCTGAGACAGAAATCTCAGTCCTTTCCATTGTATTATTGTTGCTTTCTTGCAGGTTTCTATCTCTGATAGTGAGTTTTCTTCTTGGCCTCTTACAAGTGTTTAATTGGAATAAGGGCTCATGCAATACTCTGAGACTCTTGGATGATGATGGTGTAAAAGCATTATATCTAACTTTAAGTATTCTGTAACTTTTCAAAATTAAAATTTGTACCCATCAACATGTGTTTTAATCATTATGATGCCATTTTATAATAAGAATTAAAAGATTATTTGTTTTTATAAAAATCTTTCTTCTTTTAAATTATAGTAATATGGGATCCCTGGGTGGCTCAGTGGTTTGGTGCCTGCCTTTGGCCCAGGGTGTGATCCTGGGGTCCTGGGATTGAGTCCCACATCAGGATCCAAAACACAGAGTCTGTTTTTCCCTTTGCCTGTGTCTCTGCCTCTCTCTCTCTGTCTCTCTCAGGAATAAATAAAATCTTAATAATAAATAAATAAATAAATAATAAATAAATAAATAAATAAATAAATTATAGTAATACTTATCATCTGGAAGTTCATTGCCATTTAATAATATATCTCTAATACAGAGCTGAAGAAAATAATCTTCACTTAAATTTCTAGTTGTCTACTTATCTTAAGCAACTCTATATTGATATCATTTTGGTGTTTAGATCTTTGTGTCAAAATTCTGAGAGAAGATAAAAACTGTCCAGGATCTACACAGTTAGTGAAATGGTAAGTAAAAGAATACCTAGTGATATAAAATTATCCTTTTCTTAAATCACATTTTTTTTGTACCTTGGATACCTTTCATTGCATAACCCAATTTTAGTAATTCCCCCTTTAACACTAGATACTATTTTTGCAGGTCTTTGGATTTTTGCATTAATAATTTCCTTTATGTTCTATATGAACAGAATTCATTTTCCTAATAATGTTCCCCATGAGTAGCTGTCAGATATTTTACCTTCTATCCCTAGCTATCCTCCATCAACATTTTATGTTTCTGCTATTATTTGTTTTGTTTTATTATTTTAAGCTGATTGATAAGAAGGGAGCTTTGGGGATCCTGACTTGCTCAATCAGTAACACATGTGACTCTTGATCTCAGAGTTATAAGTTTGAGCTCCACATTGGGTGTAGAGATTACTTAAAAAAAATCTTTAAAACAAGGAATTTTAATAGATAATTCTATATTATTTAGTATTGAGATAATACAGAGACTATTTAAAATAATTCTCTCCTGGAAATGCATGCAGTCTAATAATGAATCCTTCATTATTTTTTAGGATGCTAGGATGCTATGATGCTTTACAAAAAAAATATGTAAGTCAACATCTCCTTATCTTTTTTTCTACAGTTTGTACTCTACAAATGTAACAGCAATTCACAAAGTAAAACATTAATCTAACTTGGGCATAGGCCAGTTCAAATTACTCAAAAGTTTGAACATTTGGACATTTTAAAGACTAATATTCAACTCATTTAAAGCCAGTAGAATTAATACTTAACAAATTTTGCCAAGCCAGTTTTGTTAACACTTGTTTTAGTAACACATATTAACTTACAAAAACTTAGTGAATTAATAAAAAGTCTTTATTTATATAAAGGTTTATTTATTTATTTATTTATTTATTTATTTATTTATTTATTCAGAGAGAGCGAGAGAGAGGCAGAGACACAGGCATAGGGAGAAGCAGGCTCCATGCAGGAAGCCTGACGTGGGACTCGATCCCAGGTCTCCAGGATCACACCCCGGGCTTCAGGCGGTGCTAAACTGCTGCGCCACCGGAGCTGCTCCATAAAAAGTCTTTAAAAATAGTTCATTTATTAGTTTCATATGCCTTCTACAATTTTGTTTAGACTAATAATTTAATAAATTATTTCTTTGTGAGAGTTCAAAAATAAACTTCCATGTGGCCTGGGTTAAATTGTTACAAATTCTGAATAAGTGAAATTTCAATTAGTAAGGGTTTATTGTAGACTATAAGCCTTTTTATTTACTTATGTAAGTCAAGCTCTAAACAAAATTGTAAAAAAGATAAAATTTTATCCTTGGTCACTGACCTCCTTTATTAAGGGCATCAAATATTTAAGACTCGTTAAATACTGAGTGCCTGCTATATACTAGACCTATATATTCTAGGTAGGAGCTGGGCGAACTAACAGTGGTCGACAAAACAGAGGAGTCTCTTCTATAGTGGGAAAGCGGTCAATAAAACAAGTAAATCAGATAATTTCCAATTGTGTTAAATGCCAATAAAATATTGAGAGAAGGTGTGTCACAGGTGGAGAGGTGGGGTAACTTTAGATAGGATAGACAGAAGAGCTTCTCTGAGTAGGTGACATTTAAGCTGAGACTTGATTGAGAAGAAACCAGCCAGGTATTGACTTTGGGAGAGAATATTCCTAGCAGAACAGCAAATACAGAAAGTTGACAAGTTTAGAGTTAAAGGAACAGGAAGAACGCCAGTGTAAATGTGAATGGAATGCAGTGAGCGGTGGGGGAGGGTGAGTGGCCTAGAGGAGCCTAGGGAGATAAACAGGGCCAGAGCATTCAGGACTCTGAATAGGTAGGGAGTCGGAATTCTATTTTAAGTGCAAATAAAAGGTAGGGAGTTGGAATTCTATTTTAAGTGCAAATAAAAGCCATTTGAAGGTTTTAAGTAGAAATATAACATCATTTGATTTATATTTTAAATTAAAAATCACTCTGGCTTTTAAAAATCACTGTAGCTTTTAAGACAATATACTGTGGAAGGAGAATAAGATTGGAATCAAGGAGAATGGTGTTTAATCTATTAATACAGTACTGGTGAAAAATCACTGAGGCTTAGACAAGGATGGCAGTGAAGGAAAGAAATGAAAAGATTCAGGATATATTTGGCAGTAGAACTGATTGGACTTGTTGATGATCCAAAGATCATCCAAAGATCCAAATCAAGGATGACTCTTAGATTTTTGGCAGATTACTTGAGCGGATAATTTTCTGATTGTCTGTTCCTATGGTCTCCAAAGCCTCTTCCCTTTATTAAATGAGCAGAGTCCTGATCTCCACTTTACTCTTTTCAAAATCAGTTCTTACTTTGGTAAGGCTTAATGTGATATTTCACAGTATATATTTTCCTTGTAACTAGCAGAAATACCTATATTTGCTTAAGCCAATGACATGAATGTCAAACTGTAGTTAAGTCAACTAGAAATAGATATTTGGGAGATTAAAGAAGGATATCCAAAGTAATGCTTTATATACATCATATTTCCTGCAAGATTATTTCTTATTAGGAATAAATGTTGAAATAAGACAAAGAATTCTTATAATCCATCATGAAAAATATTTTATAGAGTAAAAGTAAGATTTTTGTTCTTTGTTATATTTCAGCTAAGGATGGTTGTTCTAGCTGTAAGTATTTTTAAATTGTATGTTCTTTTTAAAAGACTGTCAAATTTGATCTTGCTTATTTAAATAACACTAAAACCAACAATTAGATTATGTGACTTTATTCAAACAGATTATTCAGTGGCAAAAAGTAACAAAATATTTTGGGGGGTCATTTGTATTTTGTTTTGCTGAATCTATTTAATAGTTTAAACATCCAATTTAGTTCTCCTTGAATACTTAGCCTTATATAACTCAATTATAAATTATTTTTAAATAGGTGTACACCAATCCAGAAGACCCTCAGGTAGGTGTGCTTAAATTAGTAAGGAAACATAATATCTCTAATAACTAAAAATAAGATAAAATTATAATAATACCTTATGCTTTTTTTCCTTTATCGTATGCTTTTAATTGTATTCACTTTCACATGTATTTTCACATTTGAACCTCATAAAGACTTTTCTGAGGTAAGACAAGGCTTGTATTGTTACATTTAAACAGATTAATATATTTACTACCAGAGAGATTGTGTGACTGATCCTGGACCAAAACCCATTAGAAATAACCTAAATCTCCTGACTTCTCCTTCTATATAATATTCTTACAGAATTATGAAGCCGGTTGAGTTTGACAAAAATAAAATACTTATTCTTTGAATATTCATCCCAATCCAGTCACATCTGCCTGTTTAGCTGACAATTAAAGAAGGAATTCAAGAAGTGACAGGGAAAACCAAATAACAAGAAACAAAAGGGGAAAACCTTTTGAGCACCTACTATTATTAGACTTTCTTTTTTGAGGCTTTATGTGCATTATCTCATTTATTTATCATAACCTTCATAAGGTAACTACCATTATCATCTCCACTTTATAGATAAGGAAACTAGATAGAAGGTTTCTTGCCAAAGTTCACAGTGGCAGAACCAGAATTTGGACCTAAGAAGGCTAGTCCATGATCTTAGTGCTTAACTATTCTACTACTTAACCATTATAACTATACTTACAGTTTTTCATTCAGTCATGGAGAAGCATTTTTTTTTTTTAAAGAGAGCTGATCCCCATTCCTGTGTGAGCACTGAAATGTAAAGAAAGCAATAAAAAAAAGCTTCAAGAGGGCTGGCAATATGCCTTCTCTTTGATACTCATGCTTGCAGTTAACACTTAAAATATGTCCATGGATGGGACGCCTAGGTGGCTCAGCAGTTAAGCCTTTGGCTCAGGTGGTGATCCTGGAGCCCCGGGATTAAGCCCTGGGATCTAGCACTCAGATCTGTCTCTGGATCGAGCCCCACATTGGGCTCCTTGCATGGAGCCTGCTTCTCCCTCTGCCTATGTCTCTGCTTCTCTCTCTCTCTTCTCTCTGTGTCTTTCATGAATAAATAAAATCTTACAAAAATATATATATATATATATATGTCCATGGTGACGAAGAAAATATCATGGGCAAAGGCTGTGAATTAGTTCATTGTTCAGAAGCTCAGTACTTGTTTAGAAAATATTCATTTAGTTTCAGATGTTTTATATAGTTGAACATTTGTTTTTCAAAGAGCAACCTTGTTGATTCACTAATATTTTTTGATTGTTTGGTGTTCCAGGCACTTTATTAAGGGCTCTGTATAAATTATCCTATTTGTTAAATATTCACAACCACCAATAAGATAGCTACTATTTTCAGGTGGCCCGGGTGGCTCAGCGGTTTAGCGCTGAGCCTTCATCCCAGGGTGTGACCTGGAGACCCTGGATCAAGTCCCACGTTGGGCTCCCTGCATGGAGCCTGCCTCTCCCTCTGCCTCTCTCTCTGTCTCCTCTCTGTGTATTCTCATGAATAAATAATAAAATTAAAGAAAAAAAAGGTAGGTACTATTTTCAACCCCTTTTATTAGCTGGGGAAACTAAAATCTAGCAGGCTTAAATAACTTGCATCTGGTTACATATAGCTTGGATTTAAGCCCTGTGCTTAAGCCATTCTGCTAAAGTAAGAGATGATGCTGCCCCTCTTAACTGCTTACTAAGCAGTTCCTTCCCTCTGGTATATATGATACACATTGCAGTCAGTGGGAGAATAAATATATTTCCAAAGCTGAAGCCCCAAAACTCAAACTATGGGAATTTACAATTAGGACTTGAAGGATTCAATGGACCAATAAGGATTAATATGGCAGAAAAAAATTATTAAATCAACATTAGGCATACAAAAGGTGTTTTTAGCTAGTTGGCTGCAGGTACTATATATCAGACATGTAACTGTAATGTTTTCTATTAAAGACAATTTCAGAATGTTACCAATTTAAATTCAAGTACACTAGTAATGGACCAGTCATGGACTTCATAAGGTATTGTTTTATCATTTTCTTTTTGCACTACAGATTACCACTTATTCATATTAAAACTATATTCCTAAACTTGTGGATTAATTCTGAAACTTTTTAAACATCACCAAGGAGGTGTGGCTGTACAAAATATCCTTTGAGTGGCTGCAAACCCAGATTACGTGGCTAATTATATATTATTTTAATTGTGAAACAGAGCCAAAGAATAGGAAAGCTATTGTATGCTTGAGTGATTAGAAATGTAATTAAAGTCCATCACTCATTTCCTTTAAAGATCTTATATAAAATGCATATCAATTTAAATAAAATTATTAGCTTATAATATTAGTGATATTAAATTTTAATAATAGTGACATTAAAATGCATTTTATGGTAACTTTCAACTTAAAAACTTAATGATATAATAGGAATAAAAATCTCAAATAGTAAAATGGGTATTTATGTTATTAGAAGCCATGAGTGTCATAAAAGAAATTAATGTGTGATTCTCTTCTAGTAAAAACCAAAGCAATGAATCTAGTATGTCGTCTGCTGACACCAAGAAAGCAAGTATTCTCCTCATTCGCAAGATTTATATTCTAATGCAAAATCTGGGACCTTTACCTAATGATGTTTGTTTGACCATGAAACTTTTTTACTATGATGAAGGTACTTTTTGTAATACATCTATACCTATATGTTTTATTATTGAAACAATTGGTTACCATTCCAAATGATTTTAAGCACCTCAGTTGTATTTTTTGATATAAAATTTTCACTTAATGTCAGTATTTGAGAAAGACTTGAAAAAATAGACTTTCAGACATACACAAACTTTTCCAGTGATGTGAACATATCCATGTGAGGTACAACCTCACTCATAATTAAAGAAATGAAACAGGGCAGCCCGGGTGGCTCAGCGGTTTAGCGCCGCCTTCAGCCCAGGGCCTGATCCTGGAGACCCAGGATCAAGTCGCACATCAGGCTCCCTGCATGGGGCCTGCTTCTCCCTCTGCCTGTGTCTCTGCCTCTCTCTCTCTCTGTCTGTCTCTCATGAATAAATAAATAAATAAAATCTTAAAAAAAAAAAGAAACTTAAAAAAAAAAAAAAGAAATGAAACCGTTGAGATGCTACTTTTCACTTACCAGAGCAGTAAAACTTGCAAACCAATTATTGGCAAGGGTGTGGGGTAAAGCAGGCACTTTTATAAATCTTGAGGGAATGTATATAAGCGCAACATTTTTAGAGAACAGTTTATCAGTATCAAAATTTTAAATGCACATTCTCATTAATCCAGAAATTTTATAGCTAGAAAAGTATCTTGGGAGTATACTTAACACAAACACGGAAGGTTATAGGTTTATAAGGAAACTATGCAAGCTGTTAAAAAGGACGTACTGATAATTTATCCAAGGAATATTAAAAATAAATTTTAAAAAATGTTAAAAACAGCCAAGTAGGTAGGGCATCTGGGTGGCTCAGTTGGTTAAGCCTTCAACTCTTGATTTCGGCTCAAGAGTCATGATCTCAGGGTCCTGAGATGGAGCCCCACTTTGGGCTCCACACTCAGCACCAACCTGCTTGTCCATCTCCCTCTGCTCCCTGCTTCCAGCATGCATACAGGCACATGTTCTCTCTCTCAAGTAAAATGAATAAGTAAAATCTTTTTTTAAAAAATCAGCTAGGTATAAAACAGTATCATTTTATTTGTGTTTTGTAATATGAAATATATATATTTACATGTGTAATATCTTCTAGAAGTACATAAATCAATAACAACTAACATTTATTGAATACTTACAATGTTCCAGTTCTGGTCTGAGTATTTTGCAACTTTAATTTGTCTAATACCCACAATGACCCAATGGAGTAGATATTATTATAAGTACTATTATTTCTCACAGATGAGAAAACCAAATCAAGGATGATATATAATTTATTCAAGGTCCTATAGCCAGTCAAGTGAAGGAAAAAAAGGTTGCCTTTTTTTTTTTTTAAAGATTTTATTTATTTATTCATGAGAGACACAAGAGAGAGAGGCAGAGACACAGGCAGAGGGAGAAGCAGGCTCCATGCAGGGAGCCCGATGTGGGACTCAATCCCAGGTCTCCAGGATCAGGCCAGGCTGTGCTAAACCGCTGAGCCACCTGGGCTGCCCAAAGGTTGCCTTTCTATACTATTTGAAATGTCTTCAATCTGTATATATTATTATTATTATATTACTATGTTCTCTTCAATTTCATTCCTCAGTATTTATGTACAGTTTATACTTATTTTTTCCAGTTACACCCCCAGATTACCAGCCTCCAGGTTTTAAGGATGGTGATTGTGAAGGAGTGATATTTGAAGGGGAGCCTATGTACTTAAATGTGGGAGAAGTCCCAACACCTTTTCACACCTTCAAAGTAAAAGTGACTACTGAGAAAGAACGAATGGAAAATATTGATTCAGCTATATTATCACCAAAACAATTAAAAACACCACTTCAGAAAATTCTCATGGACAAAGATGATGTAGCAGATGAACAGGAGCATTATATAAGTGTCAGTACATTTTAACAAGTTATAAAGTATAAATAACAAATGTTTATCCAATTCTAAGGACTAATAGTTCTCATTAATATTTACATAAATACTGTATTATAATCATAAACTCAAGGTTGGTAGGGACCTTAAAGTATAGGCTTTTCATTTTAAGACTTTTTTTTTTAAAGATTTATTTATTTATGATAGACATAGAGACAGAGAGAGGCAGAGACACAGGAGGAGGGAGAAGCAGGCCCATGCCGGGAGCCTGACGTGGGAGGGACTCCAGGATCGCGCCCTGGGCCAAAGGCAGATGCTAAACCGCTGAGCCACCCAGGGATCCCCCCATTTTTAGACTTTTTACGTTGGTGCAAACATTATTCTCAGAAATTTAAAAGCACAACTATTTTAAGTGAAGTAGGGAATGGTCCTGGAGGCCCGGCCACTCACCACCTCAACTACCCTCATAGTGGACTAACTAATCTTTCTTTCTTTGTTTGAAAACTGAAAGTAGACATTAAACTCGTTTCTATTTCTGCCATGTCGTGACTGAACTTACTCTTCACTAACTCCCTGAAGAGGGTTGGGGCACTTTTTATTCAGTTTGCTAACATCTTTATAAAAATTCAGAGATAATAGAAGCATTAGTTGTGTGAACATGTCTAGTTCAGTGCCCTCAAAAAGTAAGAACTAAGGGTTCTTAGAACCATTATATATTTTTGAGAAAATTGTATATTTGTCCTTAAAGCATCCCTGCAAAGTAAAGTAGTAGTTTATACTTTGGATAAATGTGATACCTTGTCATAGTAATTATAGGACTTTATTTCTAGCAAAGTGTAAGTTAGTTGTAGCGTTATGTTTAACCTTCACATAAAACACATTTGTTCATAAATAATTCTACCCAGTTGTTTTAATTTCTTTCTGAAATGTGTCCATTTTTTTCCCTCATGTAATTATGTTGATTACATGGATTGTAATCCTGTAATCATTACAGGATGATTTTGACGTTGAAACTAAAATGGAAGAGCAGAAAAAAAACCTTGAATCTTCTGAACTTGGAGGTAAGAAGTTAATGAAAATGTAGATTAATTCACTTCCAGTTCAGTTCTATACCATTTTAACTCTTTTTTTTTCTTTAAACAGAACCAAGTTTAGTTTGTGAGGAAGATGAAATTATGAGGTCTAAAGAAAGTCTAGATCTTTCAATTTCTCATTCTCAGGTATAAATTTGATAATTGATCTCACTTTTAACTTTTTTTCTGAAAAAACTATTCTTATTTAGTTATTTTTCAGCTTTTCTTATTTAGTCAAGGTCTTTTAGAAAAATATTAGGTCTTAAGAATGCTTTTTAACAAAATTTGAGAAGTATATGTTGAAAAGTTTTGAGTCGATATTATTGTGGGTTTGTTTAGTAATAAACCTAAATACTGTTCATAAAATTTCAGAATTTCAGAGCTAGATAGGATCTTCAGCAATTAGACCATCACCTTTTGTATTTACAAATGGAGAATATAATACGTTTTTGTTGCCTGGAGCAGACATGATTAATTTTTTTCCCATAGATAGTAAAATCTTGATGAAAATTTAAATAAAAAGAACTTGAAAATAGTGGGACTGATTATTGTCCACCTTCCTCTGTACATCCCATTTCTCCAGTGGGAATAAGCTAAAGTTCTTATCTTCTGGGGTCACCTGGGTGGTTGAGCATCTGTCTTTGGCTCAAGGCATGATCCCGGGGTCCTGGGATCAAGTCCCACATCAGGCTCCCCCTCTGCCTATGTCTCTGTCTGTCTCTGTCTCTCATGAATAAATAAAATCTTAAAAAAAAAAGTTCTGATTTTCTGAAAGAGTGGTCTAGTGCCTGGTGATCATTTGGGAATTTTTCAGTTCAGTGAATTATCAATTGCATATAGTGTCAGTTTCACTACCTTTAGCTTTGCACTTTTTGTGACAGTAAGAACTATTCACAATTAATGGTTTTCATTAATATAACAAGATCCTAGATTTTATGTTATTGAATTTTGGAGCCTCATTATTATGTTATGGAAAGTTTTGATTATGTTATATGATTATGTATTATTATTTTCTAGGTTGAACAGTTAGTCAGTAAAACATCTGAACTTGATGTATCTGAAAGCAAAACAAGAAGTGGAAAAATCTTTCAGAATAAAATGGTAAGTGTATCTTTAGATTTTTTTTCCATTCTAACCTTATAATTTTTTCCCACATATGAGTTTATTTCGGTTCTTAATCCTTCCTTTATTGGACCAATATTTAGTAAGCACCTGTTATGTGTCAGATACTTTACTAGGTGCTGGAGATATAACATGAGTAACACATTATTGCTGCTCTTAGCTAAAAGTTTAGTAATTGGAGGTCAACAAGCAGTGATACAGGGCTATGATAAGAGTTTGAACAGGCTACATGGAACAAAGAAAAGAATGGTTAGTTGTATTGAAGGTACATAAAAGAGAATTCAGGAGCAACTTTGAGAAATGACACTATCATCCAGACTCCCAAGGAGATTTCCTAGAATTCCAAAATAATCTCATGTTCTATCCTGTAAATAGTTTGTCTTGTTAGTAAGACATTAAAAATGGGTGTTTTGTATATATTTTGCATAAAATAAATCTCATGTTTTTAAGCAAAAGACCCACTGCTTTGTTTTAGTTTTCTATTTTTTCTAAACGGAAATTTGTATTTTATTTTAGACCTTTAAGTTACTCAAAGGTTCAGAGGTAAAGAAAAACCATTCTGTAAAATATTACATCTAAATTTAGGAAACAAATTGCATACTCTAACAGTGGCATTTCTTCCCAACTCCTCATTCAGTGACATCATGTTGGTAGCTTGAATTTGGACATGATGAGAATATTCACAGCATGGAAATCAGCAAATGCCTCAATTCAGCATTTGTTACTCCTAGAGAACTAGTTGTTAAACATTTACCAGCACACAGTTGATTATAGTGCTAATTTTAGGTGCCCCTTTTTCCACATTCTTTTTTTAAAATTTTTATTATTTTTAGTAATCTCTATCCCCAATGTGGGGCTCAAACGCATGACCCCAAGATCAAGAATCACATGCTCTTCCAAATGAGCCAGCCAGGCATCCCTTTTTCCACATTCTCAGTTGGAAGTTAGAACTGTCAGAAGGCAGCATTCAAACAAGTATGCTGATGAAAGCGAGACAAAAGAATTTCAAAAATTAGTACAACTAGCAGCAAAATGGTCTTCTAGGCAGCTTCTACTTAGGAGGAGTATCCTTTACTAGGATATAGGGAGAAAAGCAAGAATTTTTTTTTAAAAGATTTTATTTGTTTATTCATGATAGACATAGAAAGAGAGGCAGAGACGCAGGCAGAGGGAGAAGCAGGCTCCATGCAGGGAGCCCGACGCAGGGACTCAATCCTGGGACTCTAGGATCATGCCCTGGGCCAAAGGCAGGCGCCAAACCGCTGAGCTACCCAGGGATCCCCCCCCCCTTTTTTTTTTAAGATTTTATTTATTTATTCTAAAAGTAAGAATTTGAAAAATTTACTAGGCAAGATTTTCTTGTAATACGACATTAAGATACTTTGGGTACATAAATTCATTTCTGAAGTTGCCCGTGTTTTTGGATATGAACTCTTTGCCAAAATACTACTGATTTTGAGACTCATGACTGAATTATTGTTAGGAAAGGGCAAGAAATAAAAATATTTAATAGTATATATACACTAAGAAAGTTATCATTGAAAAGTACATTTTCAACATCAGAAAATGAGTATCTCCTTTTAGAGAATAGTAATACGAAAGCTAATAGTTTGTCATCATCCAATCATCACTTTAAAAACTGCATAGAGGGGATCCCTGGGTGGCTCAGCGGTTTAGCACCTGCCTTTGGCCCAGGGCGCGATCCTGGAGACCTGGGATTGAGTCCCACGTCGGGCTCCTGGCATGGAGCCTGCTTCTCCCTCTGTCTGTGTCTCTGCCTCTCTCTCTCTCTCTCTCTCTGTGACTATCATGAATAAATAAATAAAATCTTTAAATAAAAAAAAAGAAAATGCTATAAAAAATAAAAAATAAAATAAAAACTGCATAGATAGCATTATTTACAATAGCCAAAAGGTAGAAAAACCTAAATATCCATTAACAGACAAATGGAGAAACAAAATGTGATATATCCATACAATGGAATATTATTCAGCTATAAAAAGAAATGAAGTACCAATGTATGTTTCAATATGGATGAACCTTGAAAATATGCTAAATGAAAGAAACCAATCACAAAAGTCCACATATGATATGATTCTACTCATTGAAAGTTCAGGTATTTCTATAGAGAAAAGGTCTTAGAGCTAAGTAGAAGAAGGGGAGAATAGGGAAGTGATATCTATATTCTATATTCAAAGAACCCAGGTATCCTATCTTAGTAGGAAAGTTATACAAGGTATAATTTTAAAAAGAAGAGAAGGAAGAAGGAACAAATCAACCACAGGTTTCTTTTGGAATGATAAAATTGACTACAATTTTGGAATGATAAAATTGACTAAAATTGTCTAAAATTGACTACAATGATGGTTGCACAACTCTGTGAATATACTTAAAATTATTGAATTGTACAGTTTTAAAGAAATGAGTTGTATGGCATCTGAATTATATCTCAGAGAAGCTTTTTTTAAAAACCTGCATGTAGTTGCCTATAGTTAAAAAATCAAGTGGCTATTGTTCTTTGAGAAATAACCAATTAGTAATTATTCCATCTTTGTGGAGGCTAATGGAAATCAACCAGTAAAATCTTCTAAAGAAAATCGGAAGAGAAATCAACTCGAATCTGGGAAAACAGTAAGTCTTATGATAATATATAGGTTGAATAAAATGACAAGTATCAGACTATCATTATTGTAGATTAAATTTTATTTCTGTTTATTTATTTTTAATTTATTTTTCTTAGAGAGGGAGAGTGGGGAAGAGGGACAGAAGCAAAGGGAAAGAGAGACGATCTTAAGCATGCTCCACACCCAGTCAGAGCCTGACTTGATTTCATAACCCTGAGATCATGATCTGAGTGGAAATCAAGAGTCAGATGCTTAACCAACAAAGCCACCTAGGTGCCTCTAAATTAAATTATAAATGACAAATAAGATAAAATCCCTGTATATTACTTCAGAGTACTGTTATCCAAATCTTATTTGTATATAATTGATTCTAAAAAATAAGGTGATTTTAAAATAAAGATATGCTAGGGATCCCTGGGTGGCGCAGCGGTTTGGCGCCTGCCTTTGGCCCAGGGCGCAATCCTGGAGACCCGGGATCGAATCCCACGTCGGGCTCCCGGTGCATGGAGCCTGCTTCTCCCTCTGCCTGCTTCTCCCTCTGCCTGTGTCTCTGCCTTTCTCTCTCTCTCTGTGACTATCATAAATACATAAAAATTAAAAAAAAATAAAGATATGCTATGTTTATTAATTTTTTCCATGTAAATATTTACTGTTCATGAATGATTTGAAGTAGCTGGAGGAATTTATAAAATAAATAAAAATCAGTATGTCTGGAAAAATATTAATAGAATGAGAAAATGAGTATAAGAATATTTAAGCATGGGCAGCCCGGGTGGCTCAGTGGTTTAGCGCTGCCTTTGGCCCAGGCGTGATCCTGGGGACCGGGGGTCGAGTCCCGCGTCGGGCTCCCTGCATGGAACCTGCTTCTCCCTCTGCCCGTGTCTCTGCCTCTCTCTCTCTCTCTCTCTCTCTCTCTCTCTCTCTCTCCCTCTGTGTTTCTCATGAATAAATAAATAAAATCTTTTTAAAAAAGAATACTTAGGCCATTTTATATGTAGAGCTAAAATTGGGCCACAGATTTGATCTGAGCTTCCTAGAGAACAAAAGTGAAATAAAAATAAGTTACCAAATCAACTTGTTCCCTTAAAATATAGCATCTCCTCTCAGTACCTTAGGAGAAAGAAAAATTTTCCTGACCTAAATTTTTTAACAGTTGTTTGGTATTTGGGACCTTATTTTACCAAATGAGATCATGTATTTGTCATTTCTGAGATAAATATTTATATTTTTCAACTAGAATTTTTTGGTATTATTAGACTAAAATTTAGACAACTGAATATCTAAGATTGCTTTTAAAAAAATCAAACGTTGAAGGGGTAATCTCAAAAATATACTTTATAGTATTTTCAATTCACATATCTTAAGAGAATGAAATAACCTGGTACTTCATTAATATAGTGTCTAACTTTTCCCAATGTATTAAGCTTTGATTTTTTTTCAAAATCATTTCATTTTTGGGATACCTGGGTGGCTTAGCGGTAAGCATCTGCCTTCAGCCCAGGGTGTGATCCTGGAGATCCAGGATCGAGTCCCACATCGGGCTCCCTGCATGGAGCCTGCTTCTCCCTCTGTCTGTGTCTCTGCCTCTCTCTCTCTGTGTCTCTCATGAATAAATAAATAAAATCTTTTAAAAAAATTATTTCATTTGTATCATTAGTGAGTTTTTTTCAGAAAAATCAAAGTTGAGTAACTCAGGGAATACTTTTAGGAATTTTCTTAATTTGTCCTCCCATACATTTAAAAGTATGCATTGAATGCTAATATCTATTAGGCACTGCTAAGTAGCAGGGATATAAGAAGAAAACAATTTAAAGTTTAACATGGTGCAACGGTAGAGTGTTTCTCTATATGCAGCTCATTTTTTTTAAGAATTTATTTATTCATGAGACAGAGAGGCAGAGACATAGGAAGAGGGAGGAGAAGCAGGCTCCATGCAGAGAGCCCAATGTGGAACTCAATTCCAGGACTCTGGGATCATGCCTTGAGCCAAAGGCAGACACTCAACCACTGAGCCACCCAGGGATCCCCGTAGCTCATTTTTAAATCTTTTTTTCCCCTCTTATTCCTCCAAAATATTTTGCTATTTTAGGACATAATGTTAGATCTAGTTTGTGACTTCTCCAACAACACTAATGAAGACCTTGTATACTTTACAAGTATATAACTTTCAGCAGCCATCAAATTATATCTGTAAGAAAATTTACCCTACTTTTTAAAGAACTCTTGTAGCCTATCTTAGTAGGAAATAGTTACGCTGCATATTATTTTAAATGGAAAAGGAAGGAATAAATGAACAAAAACATACCTCGGAGACATGAAAATAATCTAAAAGTAAAGACATGTAAATTGGAAAGTATCCTTAATAGTTGTTTTCTTTTGACAGGTCCTTTATCACTTTGATTCTTCTAGTCAAGAGTCAGTGCCCAAAAGAAGAAAGTTTAGTGAACCAAAGGAACATATATAAAAATTATTTTTTTCTTCTGTATGTTTTTGAAGTTCTCAACATTTAAACTAAAGGACACGGTATTACTATTTTAACGTGTATTTGACCTACCTGTGAAGATTTATATGTAGTCTTAAGCAGTTAGTACACTAAAATGAATTTTTAGCTGAGTTTCATATTGTGATTCTTAATCTTATCTGAGACAATGTAAGAGACCTTTTGAATAAAACCAAAAGTAAATGTCATAATAATTGATTTTGCTCATTATCTACTCACTATTGATCTATCTTCCATTTTGGTGGATACTTCCTTTAAATATAAATTTCTAAGGCCCTCTAGAGCCAATTTAAAAACAAATAATGTTTATTTTATCATTAAATTTTGATAGGAATTTACTTTTTACTTATGTTAAAAGTGTAACACTTAACTGTCCCTGGGTCATTAAAACAATGTTCTTCAGTACTTTGATAGAGTGTATTAACATGGTAATATATAACATACCATTAAAAATTGGTTATTTATCTTTTGTAACTTTTTTTTACTTCAAGACAAAATGAGGACTGATTTTTAAGGTCTGGCATTTTGCAGCATAAATAAAATATTGTTCAACATCTAGACTCTCATGGCTTCGAATTTTTAATTAACAGAAAATGTTTAGGTACTAATTTTGAGATCATTTTGGTAGATGATACTTTGCAAGAGTTGAGCACACTTCCCAGAACCTTTGAGCGGTAAGTGTGAAAGATACTGTGCTTTTAGTGAGAAACCTGGGACCTGGTTTCAACTTTGAACATTTCCTTTGCCTTAAAAGAGGAAGAATTAAAACTTGGTCTGTTTGCTTCTAGCAGTTTCAGCAGCCATATTATAAAACATTGATTATCCATAGGTTTGCCAGTAACAAACGCTAATAAAGAAGGTTGGTGTGTATGCGATATAGGAATATACCTATCCTGTTTAATGTAAGCCAAATAAACGTCCACAAAATGACTCAGAACAGAAAGTTAAGGACAAGCTAATTGTCGAAAACAACCGATTTTAAAATGTTTATTTATTCTTAGCTTTTTTGGATCGTAGCACATCTCACCAGATTGTCCTAGAATACATCTACAGTTAACACACCTGCTACAGAGATTGACCAACAAATCCTTTGTAGATCGGCAGCTTGAGCTAGCTCACTGAACGCTTTGATTGGCTGGTTTGATGGGGTTGTGGAGCACAGCTCCCTTTCCGCTCTCCTACCAAGGTTACTTCATTGGATTGACCAGCTGTCAGGTTGACCCAAACCTGCCTCCTTTTGGTGGTGTTTGTTGGGATCGCAACACAATAGCCTGGGGAGAGCCTCCCCTTGTAAGTTCCGATTGGCTGATCTCAACCTTGGCGGTTTCTGATTGGCCCAGTGAAGAAACACCAAGGTAGGTTGCCTAGCGATCCTGAGATCGCTGATGTGTTATTCCTTCTCTGCCTCGAAGGATCAGGAAGTTTGTGCTCTCTGCGTGGCTGAGAAGTTTTTACCTACTAGGCCGAGGGGGGGGGAGGGGGGAGGGACGTGGGGGAACCAGGTGTCCCCCCCCTAAAATAGAGCGCAAGCCGCTCCCTGTGTCCGGCCGTAACCCAGGAGTAACGTCAGGTAAGCCACGGAAGGTACACATTTCCTAATGTACAAAAAAAGCCTACAGATTTTTTTTTTCGTGGGGAGAGGGAGGTTCTCATTTAGTTAGTTTTTGGTCTTTTCTTTTCAAATAGGATTTTTAACTAGTAAATGTCCAGGGGTATATTTTCCTCAAAATTCCGCGCCCCCCCCCCTTTTTTTTCTGAAGACTTATTAAAGTTTCTTGGATTGGGTTAGGAAGTAAACCCTGTTCGCAGTGCCAGATAGTGCCCTTAAGCATTTGTTTCATGGTTTTGTTTTGTTTTGTTTTGTTTTTCTCCTTCACTCTTTTTCCCGCTTCCCACCAATATTTGAAATACAGCCTTGTACAGAGAATCTTTTTTGTAAGTCACCTCATTTGTATTTCTATTTTAAAATGTTCACATGCATTTCTGAGTATTCGTTTTAATCAGTATATATTTATTGAGCAGTTACAACGTTAAAGACATTGTGCTAGTTGCTATGGAGACTATAAAAACCCAAGAAGACAGTATCCCTGCCCTCAAGAAGTTTACAGTTGAGAGACAGCCATACCAAAAGAAAGACTATAATAAATACTTTAAAGGATGTAAGTATTAATAAAGTTCTGTGAAAGTACAGCTGAGAGAGAGACCAATTCTGGCCATGGGACATATGGGTAATGGAGAAGGAGATTCACTTAGGGCTTTTTGTGGATCCTCAATAGGCCTTTGAAGGATGGGTAGAATAAAAAGAGGAAGGAAAGGGGAGAGAACACTGACATGTACAAAGGAACAGAAATGGCAGCATGGGACATGTTGAGAAATGGTTAACAGTACATAATTGAGAGTAATGTAATGAGAAATATCGCTAGAATAGGATCCAGTCACAGAGACTTTTGAATGCGTTCTTTTGATCTTGAAAAAGATACTCTTTTAAAAAATAATTACTGATTAAAAATATTTATTGTATACCATTTTAAAAACTGACATTTAGATTTATTTAAAGTAACTTTAAATCATACATGATTCAGTGCAGTTTCTCTTGACTAGATTTTTTAAAACATTGTAGTATGTGGTATAAAAGGTCATGTGCTTTGATTTTTTTTGAAATTGAGAAAGAACTCATTAATCTTTCAACATTCTGCTGATATTTTTTGTTGGCAGCTGTTTGTGTATTTGCAAGATGGCTAGCTAGGGATAGAAATGAAAGTTTTCTAGCTATATGGAGTTACTACACATGATCTTCTGAGAGTTATTTTGTAGTTATGATTTCCAAAGGGAGTGCATGAGATGAGTTCTTATGCTATGGGAGGAAAATATGAGAATATATATATTTAGTTTTTCTTATTTTTTTACTTTCTCTGTGCATGTTTTATTATGTGCCATTGAATGTTTATAGAGGTTACATATAAATTATATGCATTTGGGGATGCTCACCATTTTTTGCTATCCCATATTTTTACTTGGGAAGGGTCCATTTTGTGAAATAGGAGTTACAACTGATGCATTTATACCCCTGAATTATAGATTATGCACACAAAATCAGCAGGCTTAAAAGATGATCATTTCTTAAAAAAAAAAAAAAAAAAAAGAGGGTAGCCCGGGTGGTTTAGTGCCTCCTTCAGCCCAGGGCCTGATCCTGGAGACCTGGGATCGAGTCCCATGTCTGGGCTCCCTGCAAGGAGCCTGCTTTTCCCCCTGCCTGTGTCTCTGCCTCTCTCTTTGTGTGTCTCTCATGAATAAATAAAATCTTAAAAAAAAAATCATTTCTACTAGTCTTTAAAATTACTGATTTGATTTTCTGTCAATGCTTTCTGTGCCTTAAAGCTCTTGTACTTTGGAAAACATTGTTTTACCTTCCTAATTTTTCTGGTCATTACTACTTTCTCTATTTAAATTTATATATATTTCATATTTGTATATATTTTTAGTATGTCTCTATGAATATGTATGTTTTTGTTTACATAAGCATAAATACAGATTTTTTTTTTATCACCCCTCCAGAAACAGGTGAGAATGACCACTTTAACTCACCGAGCCCGTCGTACTGAAGTAGGCAAGAGCTCTGAAAAGAAGGTGGAATGTGAGGAAGACACTAATCAAGACAGGGGTCCAGACAATGAAGACTCTGGTGATTCTAAAGATATTCGCCTCACCCTTATGGAAGAAGTATTGCTCCTGGGACTAAAAGATAAAGAGGTAACACAGTTGGGTTTCCTAGGCTCTCCCAAAGACTCTTGACTATTGGAATGTTTTAAGGAAGTAATCTGACAGGATATTTTCATTAATGCTAAGTTGGCCTTAGGATTGTGCTATAGCCATCTGGGGGAATGGAGAGTTTGGAAGGGTGGCTGATACTTGGAGGATGTAAAATCCAGAAGTATAATTACTTGAAGTGTAATTTAATTACAACATACTTCAAAATTTTAGAAGATACAAGAGAGAGTGTAACAGGTGTAAAATTCTTATACTTGTAGTTTCCCAAATGAGATTGATGGTGAAATAGCCTCCTATTGAACTAACAAAGAGGACCCACCGTGGAAATTGTCTTGAGCTGTGAAGAGGAAAATCTTTTAAATGACAAGACAAGAAACATAAATGATTAGCTGTCTTACAAAAATAAAGAGTGGATAGATTTCAACTTAAAAGACAGACAGTAGAAATCACTTTTTTTTTTTAAATCGTATTCTGTGGATCTTTAGGAATTAAATAACTGATAAAGGAATATTTTAATTTTAGAAAAAATATTTTTAAATTAATTGCAGATTTCCCTTAAGTTTTCCATTATTTTTTTTTTATTTTTTTTTTATTTTTTTATTTATGATAGTCACAGAGAGATAGAGAGAGGCAGAGACACAGGCAGAGGGAGAAGCAGGCTCCACGCACCGGGAGCCTGACATGGGACTCGATCCCAGGTCTCCAGGATCGCGCCCTGGGCCAAAGGCAAGCGCCAAACCGCTGCGCCACCCAGGGAGCCCCAAATTTTCCATTATTAATAGAATATAAGAGAATTAGTCTTGAAAAAAGAAAAAAAAAAGAGAATTAGTCTTAAGATAGCAAGTCTTACAGTATAACCACATATTTGTTGGCTTTTCTACTAGTAGTACATTATCCTTCATTTGCAATTTAACTTTTTATTGTGTTTCACTTTCTTCCCTCATGAAGAGGTTACGAAGAAATATAACTGTAATATTTTATACAATCTGCTTCTTTTCCAAGAAAGTCTTTTAGTACATATAATAATAATAAAGGCACATTTATTATTGACCTTAGTTTTGGAAACTTAACAAATTAAAATGTTACTTTGCATTTAAAAAAACTAAATTTGGCTTTGATAATTATCCTTAGCTAGGAATGATTTGGCTACATATATCAAGTAACATCTGTTCTTTTCTGCATTGATTCCTCAATTTGGGATTACCTTTGTTTCTTAGCCTTTGCATTTTACTTTCTTTTTTTTATTATTTATTTATTTATTTATTTATTTATTTATTTATTTATTTATTTATTTATTTTTATTTATGATAGTCACACAGAGAGAGAGAGAGAGGCAGAGACCCTCTGCCTATGCAGAGGGAGAAGCAGGCTCCATGCACCGGGAGCCCGATGTGGGATTTGATCCCGGATCTCCAGGATCGTGCCCTGAGCCAAAGGCAGGCGCCAAACCGCTGCGCCACCCAGGGATCCCTGCATTTTACTTTCTTTTTTTTTTTTTTTAAAGCTTTATTTATTTATTTATTTATTTATTTATTTATTTATTTATTTAGAGCGAAAGAGAGGCAGAGACACAGGCAGAGGGAGAAGCAGGCTCCATGCAGGGAGCCCGACGCGGGACTCGATCCCAGGTCTCCAGGATCACACCCCAGGCTGCAGGCGGTGCTAAACCGCTGCGCCACTGGGGCTGCCCTGCATTTTACTTTCTTTACCATTTTTCCCTTATCTGTTTTTTTGTCACATCAAATTACTGATTTGAACAAAACTTATAGGACTTCTTATAGCCTGTGTATTGTTAAAACCAATATTTGAGACATGCACTTAGGTATTTGGCCAAGACACAGATATATCAGAAAATCTTGCCCACAAGTTAACTTTCCTGTTTGCTGAGAAAGTTGATGAAGCTCTAGTTTAATGAAAATCAAACAAATGAAAGTGCAAACCTGACTCTCCAACAAAAGAATATCAGAGTACGTCTGAAGATTAGGTCCTATAAGTACCATTTTGAGACGTTTACACAGTGCCTAGGAAACATTCACTGGCTATGGAAGAGCATATTAGAACTAAAAAGCTATTTGGTTTGTTTTACTTTTTTTTTTTTATAATTTTTTTTTTTTTTTAAATTTATGATAGTCATACACAGAGAGAGAGAGAGAGGCAGAGACATAGGCAGAGGGAGAAGCAGGCTCCATGCACCGGGAGCCTGACGTGGGATTCGATCCCGGGTCTCCAGGATCGCGCCCTGGGCCAAAGGCAGGCGCCAAACCTCTGCGCCACCCAGGGATCCCTGGTTTGTTTTACTTTTGAATAGGAAAATGATTAATTTCCTGCTGACCCTAGATAACTAGAATTTTTTTTGCTTCTGTTTTGTAGAGAATCTAACTTTGGACTTCTCTGTGTGTTTTTAAATTTATAATAGTTCATGGTTAATATAGATACAAGGAAATAGAGTAAAAACTAAAGGAGCTCGGGATGCCTGGGTGGCTCAGCAGTTGAGGGTCTGCCTTCAGCTCAGGGTATGATCCTGGAGTTTCCAGGATCAAGTCCCACATCAGGCTCCCAGCATGGAGCCTGCTTCTCCCTCTGCCTAAGTCTCTGTCTCTCTCTCTCTTTGTGTCTGTCATGAATAAATAAATAAAATCTTTAAAACAAAACAAAACAAAAGCCAGTTGCATAACTATCTCTAAAAATATTGATGGGGCATATGGATGGCTCAGTCAGTTAAGCATCTGCCTTCAGCTCAGGTCATGAACAGGGTCCTGGGATCAAGCTCTGAACTGAGCTCCCTGCTCAGCAGGGAGTCTGCTTCTCCATCAGCTTCTCCCTCTACCTCTTCATACCTTTGCCCTCTCCTCTGCCTCTCCCTCTCCCTCTTCATCCCCTCTCTCTTTCTCTCTCTTGCTCACTCTCAAATAAAATCTTTAAAAAAATACTAATTGGGGCAGCCCCCGTGGCGCAGCGGTTTAGCGCCGCCTGCAGCCCAGGGCATGATCTTGGAGACCCTGGATCGAGTCCCACATCAGGCTCTCTGCATGGAGCCTGCTTCTCCCTCTGCCTGTGTCTCTGCCTCTCTTTCTCTCTCTGCATCTCTATGAATAAATAAATAAAATCTTAAAAAAAAAAAAAGATTTGAAATAAATAAATAAATACTAATTGATTTCCAGCACTATTTCCTCTTCACCTTCTAATCTACTCATAGATTTATTTAGGCATTATTTAGTGTGATTGGGGGCACTCATGATGTGCTTAGCATTATGCAAATATTAAGGTAAATATAAAATAGTATAAAAACGGTCCTTGCCCTCACAAAACTTACATTCCAGCTGGGGAGACAAGGCATACATACTTTCTAAAAGTTAAGTAACCGGGCAGCCTGGCTGGCTCAGCGGTTTAGCACCGCCTTCAGCCGAGGGTGTGATCCTGGAGACCCAGGATCAAGTTCCACATTGGGCTCCCTGCATGGAGACTGCTTCTCCCTCTGCCTGTGTGTCTCTGCCTCTCTCTCTCTCTCTCTGTGTCTCTCATGAATGAATGAATGAATGAATGAATAAATAAATCTATCTATCTTAAAAAAAATAAAAATAAAATAAAAGTTAAGTAACCCAAAGGTTCAACTGTGGAGGGGATAAAAATGAATTGTCCAGTTATCTAAATGAATATAAACATCTTTTCTATACAGAATGAAAATGAGCATTGTTATAAAACGTATGATTCTCATGTAATGTTCAGTAAAGGAAGCCAGACACAAAAGACATACTGTATGATTATATGTAAATAAAATTTTAAAAAACTAACTATAGTGTTTGGGGTTGCATATTTAGGTAATTAAAACTATAAAGAAAAGCAAGAAAGGGATTACCATAGTTGTTAGCATAGTGGTTACCTTTTTGTAAGGAGGATGAGAGAAGAGGAGGGTATTAATGATTAGAAAAGAACATGAGGGAGCTTTCTGGGTACTAACAGTTTTCTATTTCTGTACTTGGGGAAGTTTCATGTATATTCACTTAGAGATAAATCATTGAGCTTTTTTCATTTTTTTTTCATGCACTCTTCTGTGTATGCATTATATTTCACAGTTCAAAAGATTTTTAAAGAGGTAAAAAACAGAAAAAATCCAGCAGGTTTTTCCATGTTGGAACAGTAAGAGCCAAGAGAGTTGGAAGGAAGAGAGAGATCATCATGGGTTGGAATAATCTGGGGAAGATTAGAAGGAAATAAAATAAACTGGACCTGGGCAGCCCTGGTGGCTTAGCGGTTTAGCGCCACCTTCAGCCCCAGGGCGTGATCCTGGAGATCCAGGATCGAGTCCCACGTCGGGCTCCCTGCATGGAGCCTGCTTCTCCCTTTGCCTGTGTCTCTGCCTCTCTCTCTCTCTCTCTCTCTCTCTCTCTCTCTGTGTCTCTAATAAATAAATAAAATCTTTAAAAGATATATTATAAAAATAAAAAATAAACTGGACCTTTAAGAAGAGGTAAGATTAACATAAATGGAGTGAAGGAAACACATTTCTGGCTGAGGGAACCTGAAAGTATCATGAGCTTGATGAGTTTGGGAGATAATTTAAGTAATCACTTATGACTGAAGTAGGTAGTATTCTTGGAGAACAATGAAGGTCAAAAATTGGCAAATTAGGGTTTAGCGCCTGCCTTTGGCCCAGGGCACGATCCTGGAGACCCGGGATCGAATCCCACGTCAGGCTCCTGGTACATGGAGCCTGCTTCTCCCTCTGTCTGTGTCTCTGCCTCTCTCTCTCTCTCTCTCTCTCTCTCTCTCTGTATGACTATCGTAAATAAAAAAATTTAAAAAAAAAGAACCCAATACTATAATTTTAAAAATTACATCCATTTTAAAAAAACATGGGGCATCTGCATGGCTCAGTTTGTTAAGTGTCTGACTTTGGCTCAGGTCATGATCCTAGACCCCATGTCAGGCTTTGTGCTCAGCAGGAAATCTGCTTGAGATTCTCTCCCTTTCCTCCTGTTTTT